GATCGAAGATCGTTGTATTGCGTTCACAAGTGTAAGATTAATATATGAGCTTTCCAGTACTTGCCATAGTCTACATAGGGGTATTGTATCACAAGCTGTCGTCAAGTTCACTAATAATAGATGACTTGGTCTATACCTAGCCATTGTTTTTTATTTAGTTTCATTAAAGTGTAGATGTGGTCGATACAAGATCGTTCAACTTGACATCCTGCTTGGCGTTCCAACTCCAGTGGTTCATATTCGTTTTCGACTAGGATTTTCATAATTTTTCTGTATAATCTACTGAGAGTGCTGATAACTGAGATGCAGCAATACTTTTGGCAGTCTGCCTTATTCCCTTTTTTATGGATCAGTGGAATCCATCCTTATTTCCAGATTTCAGGTACATTATCTCTTTTTTATTATTTTATTTTATCTAGCTGACTTAATTAATCCCATTATCTAACTGACTAATAACATTATTACGTTCTGAACACAGTCATATATCTTGGTACTATAGTTGTAGTGTAGTCTCAACCTTCTGAGTCGGTTTCGGCAGTCGATCCTATCCATTTTCAAAGGTTGCCAATTTGCTGCGTTAAGACTTATTCGTATTTAAAAAATGAATCTTCTTTCCTTTGCATCCAATCCAATAAAACAACGTGGACTTTCGCGACTGTTATTTTTAATGGTAAATATTATTTTTGAGGTTTATAAGCAGTAGTCTGTAATTATTTCTTTCTGGCGTTTTGTCTGCAGCACAACAGCTATTAGCAAAGTGAATATGTCTGACATTGATGAGGTCCCTCCAATATATGGGCTATTTATACCCTTTGAGTGTCTCACCGCTCTGTCCGTTGGTTTCAATCAACATTGGAATTTTCGATCCGTCTAGGGGTACGTAAGTTCTTAGCGCTCAGATTAATATTCTGTTTAGATGAAAACTCTCTTATTTACACTTAACGTTGACATAATATACAGAAAATATAATATAAGACAGTTAAAGATCGACCAAATAATACCATTATCCACTCCAGGAGTATACCACATTCCCTGTAGATGTGGTTCAGTAATAGATTGGATTAATAAAACGTAGTGTATATGCTAGTTTGATTTAACTGTCTACTTGGTAACTGCGGAAGATCAGCCACTGCTGAAAATAGGTGATCAGTAGAATGTCACACTACTATCCACGGATGTTCACAGATACTATCGAAATAAAAAAATACTCCCATTAACTTTAATGGGGAAAGGGTAAAGTCCGCATAAAAACAGGACGTAAGTCTCTGTTTTACGACATTTGAAACCTCTCCCGAAGCGCACCAAAAATTTCAATTCCAGTGCGGACCAGCAGACAGGGTTCTGTAAAAACTCAAAGTCGCGGATATTTTCATGATGTCGTACTGCCTATGTTTTTCCCTAAACGTCTTCTATCTTACTCATTAAAATCAATCTTAATATTTCACATTAATCACCTATGTGATGCGATGTGATGTGATGTATGTCCCAAATATGAAATTTATTTTTTTAAAGTGTGTATAAGTTCACGTGCGGTTACAGCTCCTCTGATCACTTTCTCGTTTATCACATGGTCAATCCATGAGGTACGCAGTAATTTACGCAATGTTCACATTTGAAATGTTTCTATGCGATTCAATGATTTTAATTTAAAAGACCATATTTAAGTCCTGTACGTTACTATGGGCCAAATATTATCCAGCGTATCCAGGATAATATATTATCGAGCCATTGTATTCTATTCATTAAAACCTATCACGTGACACTTCGCACATTCGCGTACGTTAAGTCGTTTAGGCACTATAAGCGGAAGACCTTGATGGCCAGTTTTTCCAACTTTTCCGTTGCGTCACTACACCCGCGGCGCCGACGTCGCGATCCAATAAGCCGTTCAAATTACCGAAGTAGCTACTGTTACTTAGTCATGAGGTCAAGTCTAAGGGTTCGGAACCGTGCAAAGTCACGCGTCGGTACGTAATATAAATCCAATGCTTACCGACATCCTATCTGGTACAAGTGGCCCTTACCGACTTAGGATTAGAAGACATAGGTCTACATTCGGCATAGGTATTTTTGAAATTTAAACTTTGCTGGTCTTATCTTTATTCTTATTTTTATTTCTACATCTCTATATATTTTGTTATTTACAGTGCAAACAAGTTATTTGAACTTATGGACTTTTTCCAAAGGTTTACTATCTACTGGTTATGTTTTTTACTGCTAATGATCATAAACTTTTGTTTTATCAATAATTGCTTTTAAGGCAAATACATTTTCTTGTTTTATTGACATCATTGAATTACATTCAATCAATGATTACAACTAAAGTGGTTAACGACGACCGCACGAGTAGAAAAATCGTGGTGTGAATATTTTTCTATCTTAATAATAGTCGTCAACTATCATTTCGAGTGACAGAACCAATAAGTTATGGTCGTGCATATTCTGAAGAAGGGAACGAAATACTTCTCGAGCAAATAGCAACAAAGCCATCGTTGTGGTTATTATCACATTAACATTATAAAAATCAGGGGATAAAGGACAATGCTTCGTCAGGCACATCAGTGACAGCTGGAAGTTGTTACATTGTTCTTTATTTACCAGTAATAATTTTAACTAGAATATTAATAAAAATTAAGTAATTGATTAATCAGTTGCAATGGCACGTCTAGCATTTTATGAATTACTATTTAAGATTGTATTCTTCAAATAAAAGCGCGTTACTCACTGCATATTAATAAAGCGCAATATTAAAAACGACTGGCCAAAAATACGATTCTAAGTTAAATATATCTCACGATAAAGATGACAAAGTGAATGCAGTTCAGCTGTTATACTACAGGCTTACAAAGCCGGAAGGCCGGGTTTGGTCCCCGGCACAGACACCAGAAATGTTTCAATTTCTATTTTAACTGAACTGCCACCGTGGAAAACATGTGAAGCCGTCGGTCCCGGCGGCGTAAGTAGTTGTTAAAACTAAAACCTAAGCTAGAAGGTTACACGAATGGAAGAACTACAATAAGTTAATTGACTGCATTACGGCCGGTTTTAACAAACGGCTTCCGAAAAAAATATATACTTACATAAGCCCAACGACTGAACAAACAAAAATAGAGCGAACAATCAATACAAGAGTGAAAGGTTATAATCGATTACATAGTCGCTCCAAAGACAATGATACTCAGTGATTATTGTTCTACCATTTTAGGTAAACGATCATCATTACAGTCGTTCCAAGGAGAACCAACCTTACGCAGTGGATAAACGTCTATCTAGAATAAAAAGCGGGGGCCGTACCACTGCCGAAAGAGATCACGGCGCCGTGTTTTAGAATGCAAAAAGAGTTTTGTTGATTTAGTCTCGAAAATTATAAAACAAAAACTAGAGAGCATAAGAAAATGCACCTGCCAAAAGTTACCTAGAATTTCTATCTATTATAAAAACTTCATTTGGTAGTCATCGTTTATCTTCCAATCAAAATGCTATTATGACTGTACATGCGACACTTTGGAAGACAAACTACAATAACGGCATTGCAAAACTAACGGATGAAATATGTTTATTATAATTATAAAATCCATTGTATAGAAGAAAAATATAACTAAAAAAAATAAAGGCAAAAGACCTTTTTCTAATTATAATTACATAATTATCTTGCCAGTTGAAAGGCAATTGTAGTAAAAATCAGTCATGACAAAATGTTGACTGACTATAAATAGGTAGGAGATACAAGATCTAACTGATTACTAGAGAAAAATATGGATATCTCATTTTGGTAAAGCTACAACTTTTTATACAGTACCCCAAGTATGCAAATAATATACTTAACTTAGGTCTATTTATAGTGGAGACAATGTATTTATGACAGGAAATAACTACATCTTGCATTATTTCCCCTTAACTTCAATCACTAACTCAAATATTTTTGACTAGTTTTATACTGTTTGACTAGTTTGATATTGATCCATTTGTAACTACCTGAAGATTTCATAAGCAGTTTCAATCCAATGGTAAAATTGAACCTTGATTTGAATCGATCGATTTAGATAGTATACACAAAAAATGTTCGTACCTATCTTGATTATAATTGGTTATCTTTGAATCACAGTATATGATCATAGTTTTTATTATGCATATTGTTTGTTAATAAATTTCACTGTTTTTGTTTAATTTACCCATAAGCTTATTTTTGCTCAACTCCACACTTCCAAAAGCAAGCATATCTTTTTTGTTATAAATGTAATAACTTTCTTTAATGTGTAATAATAGCCCACTATATATCAGGGTTGTCAAACATTGGGTGTTTAATGTTAATACCATTTCCTCAATAGTTGTTTAAATACACCCTCTAGGCATAAGTTATCAAGTGTTATATCTAATGAACGAATAGAAATGAACCTGTAGGTAATTTGTAAATGTTTTGATATATTTTGTACTAGCAATATTATTGAATGAGTTTTAACAATATACTAATACCAGTAATAAGAGTATGTTATAAAAATTTTAACTTATAATTGAAAAAAAAAATTTCTAATGCACTCTGAGAGCATAAGGCATTTTATAACATTGTAAATATGTAATATTTTTAACAGGAAAAACTTATAATCCAATGTAGAACAATGATGATGAAATATAGCAATATTACTATAATATTTTATACGACTAGTTATCATTATTTTGTTTTATGTGTCCATTGCCATAAGCATATGCCACTGGTAATTAAATATCGAGTTCTTATATTTTCTGAGTGTTTCAAACTCTACAGGATATGATGTAATAATAAATGAAATTAATCTTATTTTGTGCTAAATATTTTTTATGGTACGCCACTGGTTAATATTTGCACACTCTAAAATTATTGGCTTTTTCTTGAATAGGAATATTTTATATAAATATGTATTTATAAAAACGCGTTTCTAATTAAATTAATCTAACATTACTTCAAACATCACTATACTTTTTCATTTTTCATTTACTTGGTAAGCTTTATGATAATCACTTACTTTTTCTTCTTATCTGTAATCATTGCATATAAAGATTCCATTTTACTAAGCTGCTGTTCTCTGTTCTTTCTATTGGGATCTTTGAGCTGAATTATCATATTTTCCAGAAATGGAATATATTTTTGTAATCCTTCCATCTTTTTATTGTAGTCCTCGTCAGACATTTTTGTATAATCCTAAAAAATATTAAATGGCCATTTCGACTTCTTAAAAATTATAAGCCTTAAAAATACGTAAGAATAACGAATATACGGCGCAAAAGTAAGCAAATGTACTGGCCGGTGGACACTACCAAGGTACTACAAATTTTACTATGAAGGCAATGTTAGTATAAACCTAGTGATACAGGTTCTTATGTGTATAATTTCTGTAGCTTGTAATCTACAGACACGTTTAAAACGATTCTAATATTATAATCAATTTGTGACTGGATACTGATTAAAAGTTACTTATATCGTTTTCTAAATGGTTAACTATTTGTTGCTCTATTTGATAATGAATCATTACAAATTTTCAAGAATTAACCAAAACTGTAGTACCCGTTCCAATAAACATAAGACACGCAGTATGGCTTATTGAGTCAGCCATATTACAGTAAAACTCAACGACTAAACGGGCCAACACCAAAGCTTAGCTAACGCGCCTTTGTTATTAGAACTTGTAATGTCTTACCTTAGGGACACACTGTACACTACACTATAATAATATGTTTAATACACTGTAATAGAAATTAGAAAACACTGAATGTGATTTTCAGCAAAATATAATTCATTTTAATAATGGGATAACTTTATACATTTGTACTAAAATCACGTTTTCAACATCGGCACATAAGCTTCGACTCTACTGGCTATTATTTTGTGCGCAGGGAACAAGTGACACGAACGCTGACGTTACGAACCGAATGTCGGCCACTTCCACTTCCCCCCTATTTTAGTGAGATTTTCTTCGTCTTTCGGTTATCGGTTTCCAACAAGTAAATTCATAGCGTAGCGCTAGCGTTAGCATTTGTTACAAGGAGTAAGTACGAGTTAGATGGGTATATTGGGGAATGGTAAATTATAATGGGTATTGTTGCAGTACATGAAAAATGATTATAGTGTAGTGCACTTTTTAATGAAGTAATGCTGAAGAGCATTAGTGTTGTAGAAAATCAGTAGAGTAAATTAACACAATTATTTTAGAAAATATTTCACGAAGGTCATCGACACTAGTTATTTGGATGTCATACAAATAGGTGACATCAAGGACAAATATGGGGCGTTTCAACCTTATAGGTAGATTCTAATGTAACTAGGAGTGGCTCTGATAGGTGTTACAAAAATTGAGTACACAGTGTTTTTGATTTATTTGTGATCTAACCACAATGCCTTAGTTCAAGTTGATTTTGAAAGGAAATAGTCGAAATTATATTTGATTGTCATTTTTGTTTGTGTTGGTTCATTGTGTTAAATCTAATCTCCCAAGTATTTTTTATTTGAACATATGTTCAGTGGACAACAAAAGTGATCTGATATTTATACTAATTATTTCCACCAAAATATAAAACTATTTTTATAACAATTTACAGTTGTGATAACACTGCTAATGATTAAAGTTTAGGGCTCCTATGGGTAATTGGTTCATCAGATGTAAATTTAGATTAGATTGGTTTCAGCCAGGTACAGGAATATAAAACAAATTTTTGAGGACTACATTGTTTACACATTTCTACATTGCTACATTTATTCTATATTCTAGTATAGTAGCTTATAGGTGTTTTCTATTATAGGCAATGTTGGCACACAATTCAGTAATTATCCTAGGGTTAAAACAAGAAGTTTAGTTACATACATACTTGACCAGTATCTTACACAAGATTTGTTGAATGTTAAATAATTCAGATTTTATAACAACTGTATTATAATCTTAGATAAAAATATATGACATATTGGTAACTATCATATTAGTTGTATTGCTTCCAATTGCTTAATTTGTTCAATAAAAAGTGATGTAGTTATGGTTACTATTTAATAATTCAATAAAAGTATTATGACACAAATTTGAAAGACTTAAATCACTCTCATATATATTTTTATGTAAATTAATTGTTTTCTTCATGTTAATAGAAAAGTGCTAATAATAAATAACTATTCAAAAGTGGTAAGTAGAAATGTGGATAGTGCATTGCCAATTGATTTTTTCAATAATAAAATTTGGTGTGGGAGAGTAGATGTAAACACTGCAGTTTAGATAAATTACTATGAATTCAATAAATGAATTTTTTGTGTTTGTGGTTTAAAAAAAAATGAAGATGGATATTATTTAAAATAACATTCTTAGTTGTGTGTTGTACTTGATTTCAAATGCTATGGTCCTTCTTTATCAATCCAATTTTCTTAAAATGAATTAGACTTACTCGAAACTCAAATTTCACAAATCAAAAGTAATTAATCCATTAGCACTGTTTGTTTAATGTTTAATTTTTTGGATTTTAATCATTTTTTCTTTACAACCTCTGTCAGTGTTTATAAAATATCTTGGTATTTTCAATGAATTTATATGTATCAATAATATTTATAGCAGTATAATATCTCTGGCTACTTTCAGATTAAATATATTACCAAATCTATAATAGGTATATTAATTATTAGTTTAATTTAGTTATTTAATACATACAGAATAGTATGCATGTATTTAAATATATCAGCAAAAGCACAATACATAAAAATAAAATACAAAACAGAGTAGATGTATACAATTGACCATGAAAGAAGATAGTAATTGTGTTGATAATTAAAATTTCACATCCTTCTACTAGTCATTAATCTAGTTCAGGAAAGATTAATTAATTTTTAAGGTTTTCCCCCTAACCGAGGTTGTAGACTATTACTCCCAAAATGTCTACATTTTTGAGAAACCTTATTCTACCTTTTATTTGTTATGTATGCTCAGGTTACTTTTAGAAATCTTTATTGTTCTTTCTATTTGTTTTGCATAATCAGACATTATTTTTTTCTCTCCAACACATAACCTACAGTTTTCAGATTTAAAAATATTTCATATCAACATGAGCATATCCTGTTCCCCATATCCTACATTTCAAAGGAATTTATTTTCTTGATTTCAGTTTGTTATATTATCAGTTATATTCAGATTTAACCACAAATTAGTAAGGAATGTATATATAACAACTTGTGTAAATTTCAGTGTTCAAGTAGAAATAAGCGGATTCATGGGCTTTATGAAAATGCGGAATTTTAAATTCTAGATTTCTTTTCTTTATTCCAATGTTTATTTTCTATTAACCATGTTCCTGTCTGTTAAAATGATGTTAACATTGGTAAACATATCCCCATTTAGTGGCTATCTTGAAAAGTATAATTACCTTAGTTTGTCTCAATTCATTTCCGAGTCAGCAGTTTATATATATATATATATATATATATATATATATATATATATATATATATATATATATATATATATAGAGGTATATTATAATAATAAATAATACTGCAGAATTGTCTATAAACTTTAATTTAGCAATACTACTGATGTTGAGAATCATACCTTCTAATGACTGATAAGAGCATTAAAATATGACCTCTCTATAGACCTTAACTAAAACCAGATCAAGTTGGAAGCTTGGCCAAACTTTTATATTTAGTTGTTTTGCTAATTTCTTTTTAATTTTAGTTTGAAATTTGGTCTTATTTAAAACTTTCTGATCAGGTATGTCAATAGTATCAAGCAGCAAGTTTACATTAATGTTACTAAACCTCAAAAATTGAAAATGAAATATGGTTTTTTGGTTTCCTTTAAATATTTATTGTAAAAAATGTAACTGATTTCTGATTAAGCTAAGCATATCGAAAATAAGTATTTATTATTATTTTTTATGTTTTTTAATTCAAGAGTCACTTGCTTTTAAAGCAAGTAATGATCCAGTATCTATGAAAATAACATATTTTTTGTAATATAAAAGTACAGAATAGTATTTTATAATACATTCTATGAACAGCAGTTTAAAATTTTTGTTATCCCTAATACATATTAGTTATCCTTCTTCCTACTTTAACAATGAGAATATTTTTGTGACTTTACTCATCTTCTATGTTTCATATGTATGTTTTTATTATTAGTTGCAACACTGATATAATAATATAACTTGGTAGTAGTTATCATAATTCGTCACCTTAGTTCTACAACTAGGTAACTCAAAAAAATACATTCTTAGTGATTCATGTCTGATACGCATTGTATATTTAATGATCAATGTTTTAATATAGGTATCAGAAATATATGTAGTTCTGAACTTTGAATATAAAATTTTAGCCATGTTGTCAATTTTTTGAAAAAAAAAACGAGATACCTAATTGTTGAGTAAAAACTTTGTAGATGAGTAAAAACTTTTATTCACAACAAACTGTAAAAGTTGAAAAGTTCAGAAAATAAAAATACCTCATTCATCTCCAGAACTCTCAGATTCCTGCTGTCCATTTCTTTTGGTGTGTCCCTGGTATGGCAAATTTTCATAAAATGACCAATATTTCAACGGTAGTGTTGTAGGGGATAATGCAAAATAAGGACTTTAAACTGCCGTGTTTTTCCTTTGAAATAGGAATTACGGAGCTGTATAACGGCTTTATTGTATTTGCTAAAGGTGATTTATTAGCCCTCGTTCTTTGTTACAGTCGAGTATTCCTCACTCTTAGTCAAACGGCTCCTTGATCGTATTATCAATGATCTGCTTTTTGTAAAATATAACCAGCTTATGTTTTACCAGTTAATGGGTTTACGATTTTCGTCCTCCTTCCAGATAACCATGTATTGCTCCAAGTGCGATTTCAAATCTAGTATTTTTTTATGAGTAATTTCATGAACGTTGTATGCCTTATCACCCTTTCTTCTAGCACTTCGAGTAAAAAGTCATTTTTCCTACTCTTCTTGTTCTCTTGTGATGGCAGAATGCACAAAGTCGCATTCCATTTCACTGTGACCCACAACTAGAAATTTCAGATCAATGGATTTTAAGTTTGGAAGTTTCTGAACACCATTCAAGTACATTATAACAACAATCTTGTTCATATCACCACATCTATTACTGAAACAGGAATGTGATTCACTGATGGAGGCAGAGATGCAAAATATTAATATAGACAGCTTGCTATCTCACAGCTGCTTTTTCCTTCTACTTCGGCTCACAAGAAACGGTCGCCTTGTTTTGTAATAACATCGTATATTGTGAAATTCAAGGATTTGAATGGTTGTTTACAAAATTGCAGCTCTCACACGTTCCGTTAGAGCTTTGTGCTTGCTTTTTGTCCCTCCTTTTTTCGGATCGATTTTATTTTAATGGAAATAAGCAACAATTTCAGTTTAAAATAAGTTTATTGACGTTTCAATTTCCACTTTGGAAATCGTTCTCAAAATACAAACATCGTTTTTGTTTGTGGTTTTGATTTTATTGGGTATATTGCCGGCCTAGTCCCATTGTTCAATTAATATTAATATAATCAATCTAATTTTAAATTGGCGTAATTTTTACCTCCGAGATATTTGGAATTGTATTATATCCTAATACACTGGCGGGCAAAAAATTTAGGTCATATTTACATTTTGTGTTTTCAGGTAGTAATTTGTTTACGGTTGTATCGGTTCTTAGTAGGCGCTAAGACAGGCCATTCACGTTCCGACTTGTGGTCCCACTTAGTAGGACTACTAGTTGGATGTTCATCTCCACTCACGCTCCGACTTTCTATCCAACTAGCGGTCCAACTTCAGTCCTAGGTTGTTTTCACGATGGTGTACATCGCTTAACCAAAAAATGTATCGAATAAACACTACGCAAAATATAATAATATGA